ATGCTCCAGACTTATCTTAACATTGTCCCTGCTCCAATTCTAAAATAAACCATTTTCTAAGAAGTCCTGATTTCCTTTGTTGAAGAATGATACTTGAGGCAAGATCTGAATGCTAGTTTACTCCTGGTTAGGGAAAGTCATATTTCTAGGTTCTCCCAGAAGATTTAGTCAAGAAATGCCTCTATTTTTCTATCAAGGATAGAAATGTATTTGTTTAATTTGCTGATATATAAAGGATATCCCCAGCAAGGATATCAAACATAGGGGAATTTCTGTATACATTTATGAATGAATACAGGTATTGTGGGTGGATGGATGGATAGATTCTCTCCAGTTCAGTGCCTCTGGGTTCACTCAATCTTCCTCTTTTACTTATTTATAACTTCTTCATCTAACAGTGTGAAGTCTACCTCCCACTAGCCATAATTCTTTTTAGAAAGATTCATTTACTTATGCATACAGAACTGGGGTACAGGCCAGAGGTGCAGGAGGTGAGAGGATTCACCAGAGGCAGAGCAGGAAGCAGAACAGGTAGATGGATGAAGTACACTGCTGAGGGGAGCAGCAGGCAGGACAGGAGAGGTCTGCTGAGCCAAGTGGGTCAGCTCCCTGGCTGGCGGTCAAACTCACACTGAACCCGGCTGTGGCTGTGGCGAGCTTCAAGTTGTTGCTCTTTAACCCATTGCGCCACCAGGGAGAGCCCCAATTATCCATAATTTAATTAACCATTTGTTTAAAACCTAATAAATAGGGATCTTGAGAACTGCTAATTCTTCCTCCTATCAAAAGTGTACTTTTGTAAATGTTGACATACACATCTTTTTTTTTTTGTCTGTTAATTTAAATATCTAGACAAAACACTGTTTTCTAGTTACCTAGACCAGGAATGTTTCCCCCCACTCCTTCAATGAGGTTATGTCATGCATCTGTAATATAACTAGATTTCTTTGTCACAGTCTGTGCTCCATCCTGGCATCATCCAACATTCTGGTTTTTGTTTTTGTTTTTTTTTAATTTGCATGCAACAAAGTTCATTCTTTGTGGTACATGTTTCTATGGGTTTTGACAATCATAGTCATGTGTCCACTACTCTTGTAACATATAAAATAGCTTCATTGATCTGCAATTTCCCTTATGCGGTCCTTTGTAGTCAGCCTCTCCCCTAGCCCCTGGCAATCAGCTTGTATCCTTATAGTGCTGCTTTTCTCATAATGTCGCATAAACAGAATCACGTACACTGTAACCTTTGGTTTGCTTCTTTCACTTAGAAAAATGCATTTGAGATTTATTCATGCTGTGGGGATCAATGGCTTGTTTCTTTTATATTGTTGAATAAATATTTGAATATTGTCTATTGAATAGATATATTTTTGTATTATCTTGTTGCTGTTTGCTTGCACTTTTTACTCATTACAAATAATGTTGCTATCAATGTTGGTTAACTTGTTTTTGTGTGAACATAAGTTTTTGATTTGCTTGGAACAGTATCTTGGAGTGTGATTATTAGTTTGGTTATTAAGACTATGTTTAACTTTGTAAAAACCGCTGACCTGTTACCCAAAGTGACTACAGTTTTTCACTCTGTCAGTGATAAATGAGATTTCTTGCTCAGCACCTTCAACACCCTGTGGTATTGCATATTCGATTGGTTTTAGCTATTCAAACAGATATGATGATATTTCAGTTTGTTTTTTGTTTTTGTTTTTTAAGATTTATTTATTCATACAGAACTGGGGTACAGGCCAGAGATGTGGAGGATGAGAGAATTCACCAGGGACAGAGCGAAGATCAGAACAGACAGATCCACGAAGAACACTGCTGAGAGGAGCAGCGGGCAGGTCAGGAGAGGTCTGCCACGCCATGTGGATCTCCTCCAGGCAGGCAGGATCATGAGGAAGTGGCTTACGCTTCTTAGTGCTGTGCTTTAACCCGCTGGGCCACCAGGGAGGGCCTCAATTTGGTTTTAATGTGTATTTCCCTAATGGTGAATGATGTTTTGCAACAGTTTGTCTGTCATCTTTATATCTTGTTTAATGAAACACGAGTTCAGATCACTTACCTACTTCTAATAGGGTGGTTTGTGTGCTTGTTTATTGGTACATCTTTAAAACTCCTTTCTGGATTTTATAGTCTAGATCCAAGCCTTCATTAACAGGTGATTTGTAAATATTCTAATCTTGTTTTTTTCATTCTCTTAAAAAAGTCTTCAAAACCAGTGTTTTTAGTTCTGATCAAGTCTCTATCAATTTTTTTCCTTTTATGGATGATAGTTTTGCTGTGATATTTAAAAACTGCCACCAAATTCATAGTACAGATTTTCTCCTAAGTATACTTCTAGAAATTTCAGTTTGTATTTGTCTTTGATAAATTTGAAATGATTTAATATAAAATATAAGATATATATCCTTCAATATATCTTGTCTTTATCATGTTATTGCTGGTTTATTTTGTTTGCTCATTTTGCAAACAGATTGCCAACTTTTCCAGTACCACTTGTTGAAAGGCTTACTTTTCATTCATTCCATTTGCATCTTTGTAAAAATTCAGCTGACAATGGTTTCTGAATTTATCACTAGGACTCAATTGTGTCCCATGGATCTAGGTGTCTATCTTTCCACCAGCATTCTCTCTTGATTACTATAGCTTCACATTAAATCTTAAAATCAGGGGCTGCAAGGTGGTGGAATCACAAGATGATGGCCTCCCAAGATGGTAGAGCTTCAACATAGTGCGGTAACAAGATGGTGGGACCACAAAGTGCAGCAAAAAGATGGTGGAACCCCACGCTGGTGGAATCATAGGATGGTGAGGCCACAAGATGATGGAGTGGTAAAACAATGAAATCACAAAATCGTGTCTGCAAGATGGTAGAGTCACAAAATGGTGTGGTCATAGGTGGTGGAGGAAATAGATGGTGGAGTCACATTTTGTGCTCTTAATGGTTTTTTAAGTGTTCACTTCTATCTTGTCCTTTTTTAAATTTAGTTTTCCCTGTTGGTCAGTTTTGTAAGATATGCATTCAGAAATATGGGTTAATGTAAAATTTGCTATGTACCTACTCAGGTACATGAGCAACCATCTCTATTCATGAGATTTATGACAGGCTGGAGACTGCCTCTGCCTGTCCCAGTTGGGTGGCAAGACCTGGATGAGTTAAATAGTGAGGAGGGACATTGAAGAGAAGAAACGAGAGAGGGGAAGACCCAAGATATAGTCATCAACTGCATTCATGTACATGAGTGCAGGATTTATGACCAGTCCAAAGAAGTAGGATTCTAGAATTTCTAGGAAACAGAAGAGTTAAGAACCCTTCCTTCTCTGAGGCTCTAAAGAAAGTTTCTCGGTTGAGGACAGGATCACTTGTGCCTCGAAAGAATCTGAAATGGCTTTATGGGATGCAGGAAGCTCACGCCAGCTGCCAATCGCTGATTGAGTAAGTACAGTCGTGTGTCTTCCACAGAATCACCTGTGAACTGTCTTCGGGGCAGACACCAGGAATTTGCCTACTTTAATGAGCCCTAAATCAGTCTGTTGAGGCCGCCCTTCTCAAAGAGCCACCAATGGCGATCCCTGGCCTCACGGATGTAGGACACTGCTCTAGGCGTTTCCATTGCGACAGGATTTCATCTCATCTGGTTTGATTTGTTTGAAACCAGTCAAATTCTAAGAAAAAAGATGGAAATCGGTTTAATTTGTAACTCTGTATCTAAAACCTTGTCTCCTATTCAGTGCACTGATATAACGCAACATCGTGTAGCTCAATGCTGTACATATACCAGGGCTGTTTTCCAAGAAAAGCCAGACAATACATATTTTAGATTTTGTTGGTCTCTAACATAACTACTCAACACTGAAAAACATCCACAGTAAGTTACTGAATGGATCTATGTTCTAATAAAACTTTATTTACAAAAGCTACTCTACTTTCCCCTCCTGTACTATTCACCAATACCTACTTCCCATAACCCAAATGGCATGCCCAGTTGCTTCAAAGCCTCATAACAATGCTTTGCGCTAACCTTGCTCAATGCTCAGCCCTGTTTTTAGCCTTGCCTTTCCATGGAGGAACCTAAATCCAAGGGAAGAAACTAGTACTTTTAGAAATTTCTAGCAGGTACAGAAAATGATACTGGATGAGATTACGTTTGAGCATCACTATCATTTTCCGCACTTACCTAGAAATTTCTAGGAAGGGTGAAGCAGATTATTTTAGAGGAAGTACTACTGAAAAACAGTAGCCAACAAGGAATGGAGTATTGATCCTCCCATCATTTAAAATAACTCAGGGAGGGACCTCTATGGCCTCGCTACCCCCACCATGAACACTCCTCTTCCAACGCCCATTGTTTAACAGCTAACACCAAGCCATAGGAACACCTCCACATAGAAAAACCTAAAATAAATTGCCTTTGTGGTTCAACTGATATTTTTTAAGCAACATTTGGAAAGGTATCAAGAAAAGAGAATGCAAGAAAAAGGAGTTGCTATATCTTCTCCCTTCAATAAAGCCACAAACAATAAATATTTATCAATGCAGACATAAATATACTTCATCTCTGATTGAAATCTGGATGTCAATTTCCATATATACATATATGGAAGGCTTAGCTCTTTGTATTCCATCTTGTTTTCTATTCATAGAGTGAAAATGGGAATCCTGGAAGGATGGCCCTCTGTGGCTCCCCATGTTGCATTTCATAAGGGGGTGTCTGTTTTTGTCTGACCCAGGAACATAACATTTACTTGCAAATGTCCATGTAGAAAAGTACTAAGAAAAGCACTTGCACCCATTCTTTCCCTGGACTGTATAGTCTCTGCACTTTGTTTTGCCCAGAATCTGGCTCTGAATGATTAAAAGTAACAAGTTCTCCCACAGCTGTGGCTGGCAGAACTTGACCTTCTTACTGGCAACAGACTTAATCTCAGGACTAAAGACGAAGCAAGGTTGTCTGACCTGGTCTCCCAATCTCTGACAGGTTGTGCCTCTGACAGGCCTGGGGATGAAGGCTCCCAGCATCTTGGTCCTGATTGGATGCCTCGTCATAGTTACTGAACCCAAAATCTACACCCGCTGTAAACTAGCAAAAATATTTTCAAGAGCTGGCCTGGACAACTACCGGGGATTTAGCCTTGGAAACTGTGAGATTTCTCCTTTCATGTTCTCCTCCTACCTTAATCTCTGCTCCCTCTCCCCCACCCAGCCCACTCCCAAAATATATGTTTAATAATATAATTGTTTATTTTTTACATCATTTTGTGCATTTATCCATCTCAGTTGCAATCCCCTTGGGTTCCCATCACCAGATCACTCGTGCTATCACCACAATCCAGTGCATTTCCCTCCCCCCACTGTTTTTGATCCCATCCCCACTCCACCCCCGTAAAATGTCACTGGTATATGGCTGTTCATTATTATTATTATTTTCTCGCCTGGTCCATTATATTCCTGCTATGAGTGAAACCATCCAGTATTTTTCCTTTTCTTTCTGGCTTATCTCACTATGCATGATCTTTTCCAGCTCCATCCATGTTGCTGCAAAAGGCACGTGGTTTTTTTGTTTGTTTGTTTGTTTGTTTTTGGTTGCTGAGTAATATTCCATTGTGTATATGTACCACATCTTTTTAATCCAGTCATCCATTTTTGGGCATTTGGACTGTTTCCATGTTTTTCCAATTGTAAATAAAGCAGTAATAAACATGGGCCACCCCAAAATATTAAAGGCCCCGCCCAAACTCCCTTTTGTTTGTTTCTAGTTTTCCACGCTCCACCCCACCAGGCATGGTTGCTAGGACCCTTGCACCCTCAGCTCTCAGTGGTTTCTCCTTCCCTGACCCTCACTTCCAGTGCTAATGAATACCAGCAACAGAAGGAGAAAACAATGCCACCTTGTGGCCATTGTTGGGAACAGACTCACCCAGCCAGCCCAGAGAGGGTCACTGACTAGGGTGCTGCTTCAGGTGTGCCATCCCACACTTCTTGTACCCCGAGAGACACTGCTGCCCCGACCCTCTAAGAATTTTACTGGGAACAGAGCTTTGTTGTAACATGTAAAAAGGAGCACTCCTGGCCCTCCCTGGTGGCGCAGCGGGTTAAAGCACTGCACTAAGAAGCTTAAGCCACTTCCGCATGAGTTCCATTCCCACCTGCCCCAGAGGAGATCCTCATGGCGTGGCAGACCTCTCCTGACCCACCCGCTGCTCCCCTCAGCAGTGTACTTCGTCGATCTGCCTGTTCTGTTCCCCACTCTGTCTCTGGTGAAGCCTCTCACCGCCCCTGAGCCTCTGGCCTGTACCCCAGTTCTGTATGCACAAATAAATAAATCTTTAAAAAAAAAAAGAAAGAGCACTCCCCTAACAATAGGATTGCAAACAAACACTGCTTTTCTTTGGCTGTCATTTCTGGCTTTCCCCCTAGGGATCTGCATGGCTTACTACGAGAGCCGCTACAACACCACAGCCCAGACCGTCCTGGAGGATGGCAGCACTGACTATGGCATTTTTCAGATTAACAGTTTCACGTGGTGCAGACATGCAAAGCTACAGGAGAAGAATCACTGCCATGTTGCCTGTTCAGGTACAGTTTTTGATTTTCTAGAAAGATTGTCCTCATGAACAAAGACAGAAAGCTGGTTATAGAATTTCCACCCATTTTCTGCTTTCACTAAAATTTGGAGTTCATATGTGCAAATAGGTCTATGCAAAGCCAATAAAGTATTCAATTGTTCCCTGAGGTTGCACACAGAATCCTGTGGCCTACTTGTCCAAGGAAGTCTTATTCTTACAAAATGGTTTTTATGAAATCTGGCATGAAAACAGGATGATGAACAAATGGACTATTCTACCCCTTTATACATAGACATAAAATAAATAAATAGAAAACTGTTCGCCAACTAATTTCCATAAGCAATTCATTCAAATGATATAGTACATGCTTCTTTGTATGAAATGAGACAAATATACTTTGTGTTGCATTTCTTAAATAATGGAAACTAAGCTAGACTCCACTTTCAAGTCTTCTACTTCAATTACTTAAGAATAGAATTGGAAGGCCCTCTCTGGTGGCACAGTGGGTTGGAGCACTTTATGGCCAAGCCAAGTCATGGCTGTTTCAGCACAAGCTCAATCCCCATGCTCAATCCCCACCCCAGAGGTGACCCACATGGCGTGGCAGACCTCTCCTGACCCCCCCGCTGCTCCCCTCAGCAGTGTACTTCGTCAGTCTATATGTTCTACTCCTCACTCTGTCTCTGGTGAATCCTCTCCCACCTCTGCATCTCTGGCCTGTACCCCATTTCTGTATGCATAAATAAATAAATCTTTAAAAAGGATAGAATTGGGTATAGGAAAATGAACTCTGGTATAGCTTTCCCCCAATATCTGAAAGTAGGGCATTCCCATAAAACCTTCATTAGAGGAAAGGGGGTAAATCAAATAAATGATTTCCATTAATTTGTATGGGAAATTGTTTTTTGAAGTAGCATTGATTTGCAACACTGTATGCATTTCACAGGCAAAGGGTCACAGGTACATATGGCCTCAGATATATGTCACCTCATCACACCCAGCACCAAAAGCCCCAAAATCCTCCACCGTAGTCCATTTTGCCGCCTCTATTTGGAAAAAATGTTAAGCATTCTAAGATCCTTTTTGGACTCTAATAACACATGTGTCATATTACTTGATGTCACGTAAGTCACTGGATGTCTTCATTTTTATGAATTATTTTCCCTTTTGATGTTATATTTTCAATAGTTTCTATTATTATATCTCCAACTTCTTTAAATTTTTTTCTGAAGTGCTAAATCTATTAAATCCATCAGTTAAATATTTCATTCCAGAGTGCCCATTTTTAGTGCAAGATAAGTGTTTTATACCTTTCATTTCTCTCATTTAATTCATGCTTTCCTTTAAGTCCTCGCTATAAATAAGCATACTTATAAGCATTGTTTTAAAACTTCTTTTCTGTTAATTCAATCAACCCTGCCAGTAACTGACCTTTCTTCTAGATATAGGTTATATTTTCATGCTTCTTTGCTCATGTAATAACTTTTTATTAGATTATAAGTATACTGTATATTATATTGCTGAGTATGTAGATATGTTATCTTTCTTTAAAAAGTATTGAAGTTCATATGGTTCAAGAATAGCTCTTATGTTTGGATTAGTTTAATCTTACTACCAAGGTCTAGTTCGTTTAGTGTGTCTGTATGCACCAGCATTTCAGGTATATTTCTCTGCTATGCCAAGTTAGAAATAAAAAATTTCCCAGTCCTGTGTGACCTCTATGGTTATTCTGGTCCCTTGTAATTGCCCTTCAACTAGCATCATGGAGTCGTACTGTTGCACAGCCAGCTTAGCTGTCATCCAAAGACTGAGTGGAACCCCTATGCAAATTTCAGAGTAGCTTCTACCTCCAAAATGCTTTTCTCCACAAATTTCAGCTCTCTTAGCCTCTGGTTTCTGTATCCTGCACTGAGATTATCTCTTGCTTGCATTCTACCTTCCTGGTTGGAAAGTGGCCTTGGGCAGAAATTCATGGCAAGTAAAAGGCTGACTTCATTTGGTGTCTGTCTCTGAAACCCTGATCCTGCACGGCCTGTTCTCTTCTGCTTGAAAATAATGTTCTCATAAATCGTGTCTCATTTTCTAGTTGTTTACAGTGGAAGAGAAAATCTGTTACTCCATCGTGGCCATGCTTGACTTTACATACAGTTTACTAATTTAATATTGTTCAATTTAGTTCCAATTAAGGAAGTCTGGGGCAAATGTATATCTGCAAGGCAATCTTGGATTCTAGGAAATTAAAATGTTGGACGGTTCATGGTTAGAGGTGAAGGAACACTCATATCTGGTTTCTCATCCTAATGAACATGGGGTTTTTAGGAGCAACTTTAAAATAGAAAACAGACTTTATAGCCTCACCACCTCTCAGTGACTGGTCTCCCTCACCCTCAGGCCAGAGAGACTTTAATTATGGTCAGTGTCATTCTGTCCTATGTATTACTGAAATAGGGACATTTGTCATGAGAAGGTGGACAGAAGTTAGCTCCAGAGTATGTTGATAAGGAAAATTTTCTGCCTACCTTCCCCAACTGTTTGAGCAGAAGATACATTATTTATAGACACAGAGGTAGATATTTAGAGATATGGATAAGTATACAGACAGCTATACACAGTCACACATATAATAATAGACGCTATCTCCATTTTCCTCCAACAGCATAAACCTCATTAAAATAGGAGACTTTATATGTATACATATGTATATATATATATTTTTTAAGAGTATTTATTTATGCATACAGAACTGGGGTGCAGGACAGAGGCGCAGTGAGAGGATTCACTAGAGACAGAGTGGGGAGCAAAGCACTGCTGAGGGGAGCAGCGGGTAGATCGGGAGCGGTCTGCCACGCCACGTGGGTCACCTCCAGGGTGGGGATCGAACTCACGCTGAAGCAGCCAGCTCCCTTGCAGTGCTGTGCTCTAACCCACTGCGCCACCAGGGAGGGCCCTAATTTAATTCACTTCTATAAATCTCTGTTTCTCATATCCAGCTGGTATCTCAGACAGAAACGAGATATAGACTGAGTACAATAGTGATTTTTAGTTGGGAGGCAAAAGGATACTGAGGAGAGACCAAGATTTGAAAGCAGAACTAACTCACCTGAATATAAGTACCTCTTTTTGTGTAAATCGCTGCTGATTTCTATTGGTGGATGCAAGAGAATAAACTATTCAGTTAAGTAATACTTTGTTTTTCAACCTAGTCCTTTTCTTGCTCAGGTTTGACGGGACAGAACTGTTTATTTAAAGTAAACTGAGCAGAGAGTTCTTGGCCAGGTGATCCTAAGTTCTGACTCTCAACTCATTTCTGCCTGTCTGCTGCCCCTCTGTGGCCATTTTATTGTGCTTCTTTCTCAGCTTTGCCTCAGGTTCACTTCCCAACCTCCACTTCCCTTGACATGCTTTTCTAAGTAAATACAAAGTCGTGCCTAAGCAACATTTTTAAACCATCTTAATTATAAATAAAATGAGATAACAACGTGGAAAGCTGCTTTCCATGGCCTCCACACCTGTGCCTACAGCCCTGAATCCCCTTACTGTCAACTTCACAAAATGGCCTAACACCCTATGAGCCTTGCTCCAAGCCTAGCATAACAGAAAGCTCTTCTCCCGCTTCTTCTCCTCCATCTATGCAGCCTGTGTGTCTCTGAGCCCTGAAGACCCTGCTGAATCCACTTCTCCTAGGAAATAGAACCTGGCCATTTTCAAACACAAACCCAGTATCTCAGCAAGCACTGATGCATGTAAAACAAAGTGTTTCTAAGAAATTGGAACATGTATCAGATACCAAGAACTTAAGTTTAGATAATCTCCCAGATGAATAACCACTTGAAAATTAATAGTGTTGATACTTTTACTATCAACTTCACTAGCACATAGTGTTCTGTACTATGCAATCTTTGCTCAAGTGCATCTATTGGGGGAAAAAAAAGAGTCAAAGAAGAGAATTTAAGTTTGATTGTGACTCATTTACAAGGTGTGTAATCTCAATTTATAGGGAAAATAATAGTACCCATCCATATGGCTATTCTGGGGACTAATGGAAATAACTTATAAATCTATTTATAGATCTACTGTCTGTGTGACAGAAAGTTAGCTATTAGTATTACTATTATTATTCTGAATACTAGTCTCTCTAGAAACAAAATGAACAACTTTTTTTTTTAAGATTTATTTATTCATAAAGAACTGGGGTACAGGCCAGAGTTACAGGGGCAGTGAGAGGATTCACCAGAGACAGAGTGGGGGGCAGAACAGACAGATCAACAAAGTACACTGCTGAGAGGAGCAGCGGGCGGGGTCAGGGGAGGTCTGCAGCGCTATGTGGTCACCTCTGGGGCAGGCAGGGATCGTCATGGGGAAGTGGCTTTAGATTCTTAGTGCTGCGCTTTAACCCGCTGCACCACCAGGGAGGGCCCAAAATGAACAACTTTTAAAGGCTAATACAGCTTTATTTTCCACAGTACCCCAGATGCCTGTGAATTTGCATATATTGCTTCAATTTGTTATTTACAGATGAATATTTTTGCTTTTTTTTCAGTTAATAGTTTTAATTTTTTTTTTTAAAGATTTATTTATTTGTGCATACAGAACTGGGGTATAGGCCAGAGGTTCAGGAGCGGCGAGAGGCTTCACCAGAGACAGAGTGGGGAACAGAACAGGCAGATCGACAAAGTACACTGCTGAGGGGAGCAGCGGGCGGGTCAGGAGAGGTCTGCCACACCATGTGGTCCCCTCCGGGGCAGGCGGGAATCGAACTCATGCGGAAGCGGCTTTAGATTCTCAGTGCTGTGCCCCAACCCACTGCGCCACCAGGGAGGGCCCAATAGTTTTAATTTTTTAAGCCACACTTAGAATAAATTCGTTTGCAAAAAATCTATCACCATCTTTATCTTCTAGTTAAACTTAGCTGAGAAGGCAATGGAATTAGCAATTAAACCTGCATGCCCATTTTCAAGAGTTTACAAAATAAATTAGAATTAGAATAATCCACTAACATGCAAGCTTTTTAATTTTTATTTACACATTTTTTACATGATTGTTCCTTTCTGTACAATGTTTGATTTCTCCTCTCAGGTGTTTTCCTCATAAAATTACCACCAAGATGTAGATGGTCTAGAAGCAAAAAAATAAATTAAGTTTTAAGTTTAACAACAATAATAATAACTAAAGGATAACAAACATACCATGATTCATAATTTTTCCAACCAGCCTGTCCCAAAAATCAGTGAGAAAAGAGAAGAAAATGTTATTTCCACCAAAAATAAAATCCCAACTAACACTATATTCCTCTCTCTTACAGCCTTGATCACTGATGACCTCACAGATGCAATTATCTGTGCCAAGAAAATTGTTAAAGAGACAGAAGGGATGAACTATTGGTAAGAGTCTTTCCTTGGGAAAGACTGACTGATATGAGCCAGTGTATCTATTTATCAGCTGTGATATCAGAATGGACATATTCACCCCTGCAGTGGCTCAACAATTTAAGTGAGACCTTGTCTGTAGCCTTCACCATTGGTATGTTGCTGGGCAGTGAGCATAGTAGAAAGGATTCTGGCAGAGAGGAGAACTAATATTGAATCATGATAATATGGGATTGCTGTCTCAAGCTCCAAGCAATGGAAAACTGCTTTCTAATGTGAAAGGGGAAAGCATCAATAACATCAGTGCACAATAGGAAGAAAGCGTGAGTTTGCTCAGATTTGCAGAAGACTTTGTAGTTCAAGGCAACATTCTGTGGGAGTCAGAGCAAGCGAGAGAAAAATACCCATACTTCCTAGGGTACAGACAGGCAGTGCTCGTAATTAAGACAGTTATACATTATCAAATGAAGGCAGACTTTGTAAAGGTAAAGATCAAAGTTATACATTGGGAGGTTTTTCGAGGAACATTAACCACCTCTGCACACACCAGTAAGGACATTCCCTGTGTCCAGATGATGAGGCTCAGAAGAGCCAAATGCGTTTGCTCAAGGCTCATCCAAGGAGGTCTGGCCCCATGGTCATGTAAACTTGAAGCCCGTTTTCGGTCCTGTTTACGTGACTGCTCAGCGCTTGGGTCATCGTGACCTCGCATATTCCATAGGCGCATCTGTTGTGACTCTGTTGTTTCTCCGCAGATTATTACGTTATTTTCTGTTGTTGTTGCTTCCCTCTCCTCAGGCAAGGCTGGAAGAACCACTGTGAGGGGAGAGACCTGTCTGAGTGGAAAAAGGGATGTGAAGTTTCTCTGAACTGAGACTGGACCAAGGACCAAGGATATTTTGCAACAGTCATGAGAATTTGTAATGGACGTCAAAATGCTCATGTAATCTTGTTCACGTTCTCCCAATATCTTTTCTCAAAGTTAGAGTGGGAACTAAGCTATCTTTTTAAGGCAATAAAGTTTCATTTAAATGTCTTCACTTCATCCTGACTCTGATTCAAACATGTCGTAAAAGGACCCTGTTACAATTTGAAAGTCACCACAAAATGTCGCAGCTCTGGAAGGAACAAAGTTCCCTTCTATATTAGGAGCCCTCCTAGTTCCTATGGCCCTGAAGTAGCTGTTGATTTTTTAAGTGTCTCTGTTCTCTCAGGCCCTTGTTTCCAAGGTCACCAAGAAAAGAAGGTAAACATAGTGAGGGCACCAAGGTGAACAGGGAGCAGGAGGCAAATGGACAAGGGAGAGTAAGTAATGTTAGGGAAAAGCAAAAATAAATAAACAAAAAATAAAATAAAATAAACTGTTCAAAGGAGCATCATAAATATACAGGTATGTGTTAAGACCAAGAGTAGAGAAGATTCTAGTCCACTGTGTCCCAGGTCAAGGAGAAGTACTAGATGAATCACCAGAGTTTATCATCCTCTGTCCTGGAGCTTTAGGTCATGTTTTCCCTGATCAGTGGACACAGATTCTTTCCTCAACACTGCCGGAGAGAAAGCCCCTGCTCCCTCACTATCCTGATGACACTAGTGGGACCACGACACAGAGCTGCCACTCTTATCCCTGTCGTCAAAGTCCCCCATTGAACCCAATATCCACTTAATCTGTCAAAACCATAAACTATTTTTACACCAATTTTTGAGGGGAAAAAAAAGTCTTTTCTCACTGCTTATTCTAAACTTCACCAAAAATCTTCTTTAAATGTTTTTGGGGGACTCTCTTTTCATAGACCTTTGACTGTTTGGGAGATGACCACATTGTTGAACAGTTAGGGTGCATTGTCTGCTATCTGCTCCAATGTTGAGGGAAAACATTTAAACTCCAAAACATGTGACTAACATGTTGTTTCACCTCCTGTAAAATGGGATTAGAATGTTTGCCAGACAGTTTCACCAAGGATGAGCAACAGTAGCAGAAGACCATGGTATAGACTTTCAGGAAAACACTGGTGACCACTGTTCTATTTCCACAGTTTTCTTTCTCCAGCCTGTTCAACAGGTGATTTTTTTTCTTTTTTAAGATTTACTTGTTTATGCATACAGCACTGGGTCTGTATGCATACAGGCCAGAGGCAGGGGCAGTGGGAGGATTCACCAGAGACAGAGCAGGGAGCAGAACAGGCAGATCAATGAAGTACACTACTGAGGGGAGCAGTGGGTGGGTCGGGAGAGGTCTGCTGTGCCATATGGGTCACCTCCGTGGCCGGGGATCGAACACACAAGGAAACAGCTACAGCTAGCTTGCAGTTCTGTGTCCTAACCTGCTATGCCACCAGAGAGGACCATAACAGGTGATTTCTTCTAACAAGTACCACAAACACTTCAATGAGGCGAACTACATTTTATGTGAAAGAGTGATGTTTCTGAAAGGGAGAAAGAAAAATCTGCCAGGGAAACTGTGGCCGTTGGTTCCACTAGGCCCCTGCTGCTGAGATGTCCAAGCTGCAGGGTAAAAAGTTAAAGTGTTCTCTAAATCTCCTTGCCTGCTGGCCACCACGCCCCTGCTGGCAACATAATTCTTGGTAAGGAAGAAAAAATAAATCTATAGTTGCCTTGAAAAAGCATTCATGCAAAATAAAGCCAGGATTCATAAGTAATCGGACTTCTGCATCGCTTTTCAAAACAGTATCCTGTTACTAGCTAAAGCAAACAGAGAGATTTTAACCCCAGGAACTGCCTGGCGGTGCAGAAGGGCAGATTGAAAAAGATTAAATATTTGTGCAAATCTCCACACCCCCCTTCACGAAGGGCCACCTTAGTCTGAATAAAAGGGATGCAGGGGAGGGTTGATGCAGGAGCTGAGAAGAGAGCTGTATCCCAAAGGGAGGCATAGGAGGAGCTGGAGAAGGGGGAAGGAGTGGGCATGAGTTGGTGGCAGGACCCTGCACTGACTTCGAGTGACACCTGGGACCCCCTCGCGGAGACAGGTCATGGAGAGCAGGTAAAGACAGAAGAGGGATGTTGAGAGCTGTGAGGCTGCAAGGCTGAGATGACAGAGGCCAGAGAGCAACGCTCAGAGAAACCCAGACTCTCTAGCACTGCTAACTTGCAGGGTGGGAGGAGGGAGCGCCCAGAGCACACCAGCAAAGCACAGTGAAAATGGGCAGTCCAAGGCCAGCCAGGGGATCTGAGGACGGACCATAAAAGGGAGATCTTAGAAAATTGGTAAAAATTGCAGTTTTCAAACCCGTGGCACGCTATCAAAGTCGGCTTCTGCCTCTGAGAACTTCTGCCAGGAACCTTGAGTTTAAAAAAGGAAAAAAGAGGAAAACCTCATACAATAGAGCTTTCTGTGCTGGAAGCAGGGAGATTGCTGATAAGATGAGAGTTTTTTCGGAAAGGGGGTTTTTCTGTGTATTTTGGAGATTTTGGAGCTCCTGGGGGCCCACCTCGAAGCCTAACAGGCCCTCCACAGAGAAAGCAGCAGGGGCAGGAGGCCCTGTGAGCATAGTTCAAGTGACCCCCCCTTGGAGGGAGAGGGGAGCCCTTCTGGAGAGCGGCCTGGAGTCCCAGAGCTGCTTAGTCACTGCAGCTTCAGTGGTTCTCAATGCTGGCAGCCAAGAGAATCCTTGAAAGACTTTCATTAAAATACCGATACACAGGGCTCACCTGTGTTAAAGCAGGCTCCCTGAAGCTGGGGCTGGGAAGGGGGTGTTTTTAACTCCTCAATTAATTCTAACACTAAGCCATAGCCATGATGGGGAGTGGTTTTCCTCTGGCTGCTGCACCCAGCAGGGCTGAGATGCTCTGGAGCAGACACGAACAGAGACATTGCTGGCCTCCCACACCAGGTATGCAGACAGAGGGGCCTTACTAACTAATCACGCCCAGCTGCAGGGCAAATAAAATGGAGTGGTTTTATAAGTCACTTAAAGTTTAATAATCCAAAATATAGAGCCTTTAGCACCATGTAACAAGAGGACCAGCCAGGGAAGGAAAATTCCGGATTCAGTCCTGGTTGTGCCAAGTCCCTTCCTCACTAGCGCCTGCCTCCTGCTTGGTAGTGAAGGGAACAACCTTCCCGGCAAGATAAACTTCAGTTCAAACCCTCTGCAGTGTCCAGTAAGTCTGGCTGTAACAGGTACAGGTTTCGTGGACTCTGCCCCCACTCCAGATACTGGAACTACTAATCCCAGCAACAACAAGGAGAAGCACGCTGGGACATGAGGGCGGAGCTGAGCAGCCAGGTTGGGATAAAACCGGACATGTGGGTCTCTTGGTCTGGTGGTTCGCAGCTGATCGTTTTGGCGCTCAATCAGTTTTCAGCGTGCCGGTGGACTCCAAGTCAGCAGAACTGGTAGGACATTCTAGTTGACTTGTATTTCTGTCCCTCTTTCCCTGGGTAATTCCTTTACCTTTCTCCTTATAAATAAATCCATTATTTAACCTTTTTGAGTGTGCCCATAATACGATTGAATCGTAAGCGCGCAGGTGAGGACCCACAGACAGGCAACCCGATTCACAAGACTACCACTGTTACTGTTGCCATCGGCCTGCGAAGTTCCCAGAGGCATTGAGGGACCAAAGGCAGCAGGTAGCTTCTGTAGACTCCAAGGCTACTCACCCCCAGCTTGCCTTAGGACAGACTTGAGGTGGGCAATTCCAGGGGTCCTGGGAAGAGAACCTGAAGTCTTTCTCCCACTCCTCAATACTTTCAGTAGGGTCATTTGAGACCAAAAGTTGAGAGAGGTCCGCCAGAGCCCTTGGCAGTCTCATGAGGAGCCATAGCCAGGTGGGCCAAGAATCCTATAACAGTTCTATAGTAGTTCTATAATAGTTCACAGCTACTTTCTCATGTGATGTGAGCTGAGAACCAAAAGTCCTCAGGGCCCCAGAGAAGCCAGACTCAAAGTCCGCTGTAATGACTGGTAATTGAATTGGTCACATTAGGAGGGACACATCAAGTGATCACTACTTCCTTCTTAATATTTTCATTGTTCATGTGGTGGGTCCTAGAGGAGTTGGGGGCTGGGGGTGATTATGAAATGCTTAGGAGGTATAACCCAGGTTCAAATTTTTCTCTTGTCTCTTTCCTACAAGCACCTCCAAATACACCTGACAAAATCTACTGAGCTCCCTCCCCAAGTGCGACTATAAATAACTCTATCCATTTGATCTGAACTCACTTAATCCACTTAATGAAGTTTTGCTATCTCTAACAACACAGAAATGTCAACTGTACACAGAAACTCAATCACTCAAGTAGCTGCCTGTTTGAACGAAAGAAAAAAGAGAGAGAGAGAGAGAAAGGGAGGGAAATCATCCTTGTTTGCCAATGAAACAATCAATTTTCCATAGGCAGCACAACTATAGGGTATAGCAGAATGATAACAATAATATAAACACTTAATAGATGTTATGTTAGGAATATAGCTAACTGAATCCCCTTAACAATCCTAAGAAATGAATATTGTTCTCATTTTACAATTGAGAAAAGTAAAACTAAGAGCCTAATGAATTTGCCCATGATCAGACAGGCTTGGTTAATCAGTTCAAGTTCTTGATGGCTAAGTCTTTCTAATGCTAAGCCCCTGCTTTTAACCAGCATAACATACCACTCAAGTACATACCCCAAAACTCACTTACCCAGAATTTCAGTCTCCCACCCAGAATTTCAGTCTCCCAGTTCCAAAAAAATGTTAACGATGAAATTTTGAGAAAAGAGAGTCCCATTTTTATCTTTCTCTTGGGGACACTTCCTTGTTTCAGAGAGTAAGTAGCAAGGGTAGCCAAGGCTGAACAGGAAGAAGGGCCAGTGGAGACATCCGAATTGATCAATAAACAATTGTCTAAAACACCCACAATTGAATTCAC